GTGAAGACATTTTTTAGAAACTTAAATCCCTAAGTTTTTATTTTTGCTGGACATCCAAGAATATATATCACTATAAAATGATTTGGAGATAAGAAATTATCATTTGACAGGGCTTCCCTTGCATCTAAAAGGCACCGCTGAAGGTCTCATTAAAGGCCTTGCTTTACAATATTGACTCATGTTATTCCTACTAAATAATTCTTTTGTCATAGCAACCTCTTTTCCCCAAAGATGGGGGGAAAGCATTTTATTTTCTGCCATCTAAAACCATAGCTCTACACCCACTCAGAAGGGAGCATAACATTTACCCAAATGTCACAACAACCATTATGAAACAATAGGCAGATGAGTCATGTGAGATTGGGGCAACACGAGTGACATTTCAGATGGTTTTAGAGTGCTTAACCTTATTATTAGAACTCTTTAAAAAATCGTTTGTATCTGCTGGAAGAAAAATTATTTAAAAAACAGCATAGCAGAGCCAGCCACTAATGTTCAGATAGAAATAAACCAGCTGCTTGGCTACTGTTAGCATAGCTATCAAAGAAATCTACGGCATCTAAAATAATGGTGTTGATATTCATGGAAACATTTGAACCCACAGGCCCACAGTATTAACAATAAAGTAACTAGATAGGTAAAGACATTTCTGACTGGAGCTGGAAATAGAAACTCCTGAGGTTTCAGCTCCCCAACCAAGTTTACAAATGAGTAAAACAAGTAGCTCCAACAATCCGAGTTCAGGACTGAGCATATGTAAGAAATAGAAGAAATGGAACAGAAGTGGTCAGAGCAGATGGAGACTCACTCTCACATGTGATTTGCTGGCTTGAAGACAAACATGCTAATGAGTTTTCCCTACTAGGAGTCAGTATTGATAACAACAACAAAAAATGAACTCGTTTCACACGTCGCAATTCACCACCCGCCTTCCCAACACTGATTCCTCAGGGCAAAGCTGTTGGGAGTAGTAGGTATTACTACCTTTCACTAGATAAGGAATCCGAGGTCAGGGACAAGTTTAGCAACTTAACCAATGATGAGAAAGGAGCTGGTTTTGGAACCAGGTTTCTGTGGAGCCTTCTGAATAGAAGACCCATACGTTTGAATTCGCTTGTGCCATTTCCTAAAACTTAGGAGTAAATTCTCCTCCTACATCCATCTTCACCCCCATCTAAATCATACAGGACATGTGAATTACAAGATAAAAATTTTCTTTTTGCCTAAGCCTCGAATCAGCCTGAGATACAGCCTTACTTTCCTATTTCCTAAGCAGTAAAAGGGAGTGGAATCCTATTCATTTACAAGGGCTCTGAAAGAATTAGGTGAAATGTTTTTCTACTGACAGGTCACAGAATAAAGCATTCGTACAAATGTACACTGTTGAACTATTTTAAAGTGAAAACTCACCTGTGCTGCTTAACCAAATATTTTGTAAATGGTGAAGTATACAACTAGCTTGGCTTTTGAAAGTATAGTAGGTGATGTATATTTTTCATGCCTCAAACTATTTCTGTTGATAGGAAATTACACACTATTGTTAATCTTGGAAGATATCTGTAAAAATCAAACTAAATCCAAAATGATTGTAAATCAAGAATTGGCTGAAAATCTCTGTTTTCCTCTCTTTCTAGTTTAGGTGGAAGCATTTTGTGTTACAGAGCTAGGATGTTAATTTGTTGAGAGTTTCTGTCTGAATTCCGCTGTCTCTTTAGCTCCAGCATGAATTACATTACAGACCTCTGTAAATGCAGTGCAGCAGAAAACCACATGTTAGCCATCAGGGCTGAATTTTTTGTTTTGGGCCATGGAGAGGCTACCCATCAGTGCATAAAGGTCTGTCTACCTGGCCTTTTGGATCATAGTTCAGGCACACAATTAATTCATTATGGAGTAAGTCACTGCTCGCTTTTGAACTAGTCTTTCCAGCTTTGGAGGTGAATGTCCTGTCACTGACCTGAAGAAATACCTCTACTCTTTCAAACTCCATTAAATCACATTTCCTTCTGTTTTTTTTTTTTTTTTTTTTTTTTTTTTAGCTGGTGGGGGTGGAAGGCAAAGTTTGTAGTAACAGAATGTTCAGTAAGTAGATGAAAAGGTAGAGCAACCTAAGCATATTCGTGATAGCGAAGGTTTAAGGAATAACAAATAGATTAAAGCAACATAAGCAAAATCCTTTTAATCTTCATTCTCTAATGTATTTTGAAATTTAAAGATAGGGTCACATCATCTGGGATACTCAATTTAACAGGTCATTAAAAGTTTGAAGTAAAGAAGTTTCCATTTATTTCCAATCTCACAAATATATATTTCTTGGTGTTCTTCTATGTTGTACTAAGTACTGTATCCGTATACATGTATTCATAATGAAAGAGTATATGCATCTTCCTCTTTAGTAACAAACCATGTCTCCCCCAACCCTTTGCACCTTGCTCGCTCCAGAGAGATAACCATCATGCTGAATTTTGTGTACCCCCCTTTGTAAAATATACTGTTACTACATATGCTTTCCCAATCAAGATATTACACTGCCATTTCTGAACCTACTAAAATATTATCACAGACTGTAAGTGGGCATCTGTACCTTTTAGCCCTAATAATGCATTTCTAAGAATCGTCATTGCTGTCTAACATAGTTTACTGTGTCATTGCTTTTTTCCAAGGGCACAGAATTCATCTCAAGCTGATTTAGAATCCAGACCCAAGAATCACATTCTTCAAACTGAGATGCAATGGAAATCTAAAGTTTTTAGAAACGTCTATATGACCAAGTTGTTGTTTTCCTGGAAACGGATTAAAGGGTCACAGAAAATGGACCAATGCTGAGATAGAACTGAACTAACAGAAATACAATACCTATAACCAACAGTCCAAGAATACCACTTATATCACAACTATATGTGATGTACTCATCCTATCTGGTACCATGTTTTAGAAGGGACAATGAAGAAAGAAAAAGAGGGACAGCAGGACCATGAATAACAAGAAATAGATGAAGGACCTGGAGATATTGTTGAGGCCTGAATTGTTAGTCTTCAACTATCTGAAAGCTGATCATAAGCAAGAGAGTGTCTATCTCTTCTGGCTATTTTCCTTGGAAAATTGAAGAAAAGTTTTGAAATTTAGAATGCCAGTGTATTCATCTAGAGAGGATTTATATTTGCTTTTCTTTTTTTTTTTTTTAAGATTTTATTTATTCATGAGAGAGAAAGGCAGAGATACAGGGGGAAGGAGAAGCAGGCTCCATGCCGGGAGCCTGATGTGGGACTTGATCCCGAGACTCCAGGATCACACCCTGGGCCAAAGGCAGGTGCTAAACTACTGAGCTACCCAGGGATCCCTATATTTGCTTCTCTAGACACTTAGGGGCCCTAACAAATCTGGGGCACTTTAAACCAAATTAACAGTTTGAAGGTATGTAAATTTGGGCTACAACTCCATGCAAGGACTAACTTCTGGTTAAAATTTCGGAGAAAAAAAAAAAAAAAAGAAAAAGAAAAAGAAACTTCAGAAACTTCGGAGAAATCCTGTCCCTGCTCTGGTCTATATCCAGACACTTCTGGGGGCTGCGGTGAGGGACTCACCAACATAGTATAGACATGAGCTTTTGAAATTTTAGTTTAATGTTTCATATTAGATTATCCTGCTTGGTCAATAGGGAGCTTTAACCTTCTATTTTGAGTTTTGTGAGGCCCTGAAAACCAAGTACACAAATGTCCTTAGAAAAAAAGTAATTTCACTGGTGTCAGTCCTTTACTTATCAGGAATAACCTCTGGCTCTCTGCCTTCAATGGTGTCAGTCCTTTACTTACTAGGAATAACCTCTGGTTTTCTGCCTTCAATTATAGTTTGGCCTGGTAATTTTACGATTTATAAATAATTTATTTTAAGGGTGTGTATGAAATTATAGAGACGCAGATATCGACATAATGTACAGAAGACATTTCTGTCGAACTAATTCTCCAAAATCAACTGAGCTGTCTCAGGAAACAGCAAAGGGAGATCCCTAGTAGAAGTGCTCTAGAGAAAGTCTGATAATTACACATCAGGAAAGCTATATAGATGATCCAAGAATCAGAGATTTGATCAGTCTTCTTCAACTCTAAGTTACCATGACTATATCCAATACAAGAGAAGAAGCACGTTACAGTTACATAGGAGAAGTTATTGTACCAGCTTTCCCTGCATAGAGCAATTCATGGTAAGGAGGATTTATAATGACAGAAAATCAAGAGCAAGAGTTTCAGTCAGCTGACGGTGTCTTCAAAACATCTGATTTCATAAGAATGGCTGTTTACAGACTGTTTCCTTTGCTTGGCCTATTACCAAAACTACATAGAAAAATTCCTGTTGACTCACAAATGTATTTTGTATCTTGAGTGTCAAATAAATTATGTGTTGAAAACAAGTGTTTTGGGGTTGACTGTACACACTCATATTGATTTCCTTTAATATTTCATTCTTCAAAAATAGAGTTCATATGTTATTCACCTTCATATTCCCATTACCAGGCAAAACAATTGGCACTTAGTAGGTCCTCAGCAAATGTTCGCTCAGGAGAACCCTAGGTTCCCCAGCTATAATACTCCAATTACATCTTCATTACTCTCTAGGGAAAGTGGATAAAACCTACTTTGTGAGGCTGTTCTTCTGAAAGGTTTGCACAAAGTTGTTTTTACTTATTTATGCGCCCACCCTCATCAGAAAAGAACACAAGAACCAAACACAACACTACTGAGTTGTGCATCTGTAGGGCAGTGTATACTCTGCATCCCTAAGAGTGGTTTCTTCGAGGATTACATTTTATTATTTTCAAACTGTAATTGTCATCCAAACTTGGTAAATAAGATCAAATTTAATTCAATTCTATACATGATAAGATTCTATGAAAAATAACTAAGAGCAGGTGGCTTTACACTTCAATTCAGAAATATCACTTTGTCTTACAGGGCTAATCAAGGATCTAATATTTAAAAGAGCCAAAATAATAAAAGTCTTACCTCCGCATGAGGAGTAGGTGGCAAAACTGAAGTCTCATTTTCAGTAACATTTCCAGTTGGCCCATTGTTTGGTGAGCTGGGGCCAGACCCTGGAGAACTGCTACTGACTGAGGATTCTGGAAAACATTGTGAAGCACAGATTCATGAAAACCATACAAGGATGAGCTTTACTTACATTCTAATATATTGCCACAAACATTGCTTTCCTCACCTATGGGAAAACAAGCATCATTTCAGTCCACAGTAAGGACTGTGCAAAATTATGAAACATTTCTGAATTTTCCTACCACTTTTCCCCTTTGTTTTCACCATTAAAAATACAACACATTACTCCATAGTTTATAGATAAGTAAGAACAGTTGGAGAACATTATAGGAGCTTTTGATGAGGCAAAATAAATAAATAAATAAATAAAGGTCATAGGCATAAAATTCTTAACGCATCTTTCTCACTGCCTATTTGTCTTACATTTTGATGAATCTGCTTTTTTGCTTTGATTCTTTCTTATTTGCTTTTAACCAGAAAAATGCACCTTAAAAATACTTCAAGGAGCTTCTTTTCCCCCAGACTGCTAACTCCTGTCTTTCCTGGGTGACTAAATACTGATTTCTCATTAATGTCTCATTTTCATAGCCTGTCTTCAAAAAACAAAAATGAAAAAGTTATTTTTTTTGCATCTGCCTTGTCAGTTTAAAATCATATTATTTATATCTTAGCAATATGCAGACAGAAGTATTTCCTTATGGAGAAATCGCTGCCGTGAGCCTGAGAATTCAAGGCAACAAATAAATACTGCAAAAGGGTTCTACAGCATGTCACTGGACAAGTTCTGGAGGGGGGCGTAGCAGCGGATTTTCTGGGAAAACTGAGGAAATCTCAGAAAAGAAATGAGATGGCAACTGGCTTGAAGAGAAGTAGAAGTAGTTCTCGAAATGGAGACAGTGGAGAAGAAGGGAGTGCACGAGAAAGCACTGTAGGCACAGGGAGATGCCGAGCCTTAGGATTTTTAAATAATGCGGCTTTGGTGGGAAAAGGGAGCAGAAAATTGAGGAACTTATAAAAGAGGGAAATGGCGAATGGTTCCCAGGTCAATTCTTGGGAGGAGAGGGGGCATAGGGTTTGGAAAAAGCATGTACTTGAACCTAGGAAACAGACAAGGGAGATGGAGAGGTGTAAGAAGAACAGCAATACCAATTTAACTGCTACATGATACCATGATTGGTCTCTGACTAGATAGTAAAAATAATTAGTATGAAGATCCAAACAGAGCTCATCCAAATTACATGAAAGCTGGCAGAGAAAGGAGGAGGAGCACAGGTAATAAAGCTGTCTTTCTGGTACTTTGGATCCTCAACATACTAGTTTAAAAAAACCTACAAAAGTGTCCAAAAGTCCCAGCTCACTGACCAAAGATGTGCATCTAATAAACACACAAGTCTCTCTTTGAATATACATTATTTCCTCAGATTAAAGGGGGAGTCATTATCTCTCAACATCGGGGAAAGAACAATATGGTGTTTCAAAACTCAAGAAACTTGAGTAAAATTCCAGTAAATCATAACTCTTTTCAGTTAGAAATCATCATTACCCAGGTAGGTATTAACCCAAATCCCCGTGCAAGTTAGCAAGTGACTGTGGGGAAAAAGTTATGATCAAGAAGAGATTAATAGGAAAATAGAAAAGAACATTGGGATAAATAAATAAGACCTTAATCAGATTCTAACAAAGAAACAAAAACAAACAACAAAAGCAAAGCAATGTATATGGCTTTCTATTTTCTTCAGGCTTTCCTGTTATGAGGGAGTGTATTCTCTCCGATTAGAAAAATCACATATCTATTTACATTAGACAGTTGATATGTTCATCTTCTTTACATTCTTTAAAATGGATTCAATCCCCAAATCTCCAATCCCACCAAGTACCTCTATCATGAAAACCTGAGTAAGATTTTTATTTACTTAAGTACAAATCTGTGTTTTGAAAAACAAGTCTTCAGCTCTGAATTTAGAAATGATCCAAACTAGTGATTATATTTGATATTGAAAAATAAATATAAACTTCAGTAAAGCAATACTTATTTATCTATTTAGTGTTCCTCATCTGTTAAGGAAAAATGCTCCAACCATTACTTTTCTTCAGATAAACACTTCAATTTGTCAGGAATGAATAGGAGACTACCTACTTATTTTTTTCCTAAATAACCTGTAAAACTACCAAGTTGCATTAGTATTCTGTACTTTCCCACTTCCACCCCCACAATTTTTTTCCCTTTTGTCTCCTCAAAGTAGGCACTAGCATGGCCACAGGAGATAGAGAAAACAAATAATTTTGAAAAACTATTATCCTTACCTGCTAATAATAAGACCTGATCTTGGAGAAATAAAAATAATTGACTACATTGGTACAAGCACAATCTTCCTTGAGAATGGAAGGAAATGGTTGCAGATTTCCACTTCTTTATGGATGCAACCAGAAGAAACGACCAACTATAATGCATATAGTTCCAAGTAGGTACTCAATAAACAGTAGTCAGTATTATTACTTTGGCTAGTCTTTTTGGTTCTTATATCCCTCGGTCTTCTCTAATTTCAGACCAGGTACAACTGAGACTAGAAAGCTTTGTAAGACATCAGGTTGAATTTCCTAACCTGTTCACCCCACCACTAACCAGGCAGCTAAAAAAATAAGAACTCTTCCATTTGAGACTAGTGAAAATGACAGTTTCTTTCCCTTCCTAAAAGGCAATATATCCCCCTCCTGCCATAAGTCCCAGTTCACTAGTAAACACATAAAGTCATTTATGAGTTCTGTAAATTTGTTGAAAAGTCAAGGTTTTGCTGTTCCACATAGTTTAATTTTCCCAGATGTATTTTGTACATTCATGTCTGAATATGGGGGAAGTGTTCTTCTTGGACCTCCCTCTGCTCATTGCTGATCAAATTTCATTAAAAGTTATACTCTTCTGGTTGGCATTCCTAAAACGGACTGCCTGTTTCTGAAAAGATTAAGGTGAGCTTTGGCGTTCCCTAGTTATGCCTAGATTGACACACAGTTCTGTTTTTCATTCATTTCCTGTTTGACACAGTTGGTGAATGCATGGCAAGGTTTACTGAGCTACTTGTGAATTTTCAATATAATTTCCTTTCAAGACATGTTTCTCCTCAAAATAACTTTTAATATGCAACAGCCATATTTACTCTACGCTATTTATTTTCATTCCTCCTACCGGCATTTTTTAGTGTATGTCTGCACAGTCCTCAATTACCTGTCACCTCAAACATTCGCTTCTTGAATGAAGTGACAACATTTCCATCCTTCCGCCTGAGTAAGGGGCTGCTTCTCCTCTCTGCCACTTTCTGTTTTAACCTGGACCGCACCTTCAAGTTGGGCTCAGAGGCTGGGGATTGAGACAAAGAAAATAGATAAAAATTAAAAAATAGAGAGCCAGTTGCTCCTGTGTATAAAAAAACGGCTCACTCTCTTCTTGGTTCCTTCTCAGCTCAAATTAAAATTCCAAGCATGTCAATAAGGCATTAGCTCTAAATGAATTAAACAGACAAATATAGTAATTATTTTTTATGAAATGTGCAAAATGCTTTTCTATTTCTTTAAAGGTAAAGCAAAAAAAGTAAAAATAGAAGTTTTCTACTTATTTTATCTGACAGAACTGGGATTGCTGGGAAGTTTTAATCACTAAATACGTTTGGGTCAGAGTAAGATTTATTATGCGTCATTGTCAGCTCTCTTAATTCTCTCCAGGGTGAAACTCAATACCCACAAAAACAGTACCCTAATGTGATTTTAGAGACTCTGGCCTGACTTCTGGTAATAAGAGGACACCTCTGTAGCATATAATTTACGTCTAATTCTGACTCCTGGAGTATTTGTCGGTAGTCTCTAACCTGAAATCCTGAGAAAATATACTCAGTATCATAACACCAAACCAAGTAGAGTCACTATGAATAAGAAAGGGTGGTCAGATCTTAGAATTGGAAGTTCAGAGTAGGGTTCTATGTTCCAAGGTACAAATGCACATTATTCATACATATGTTACTATTTCTTTGCTTAAATGATTCTCTCTAAATAGTGATGCTCTATAATTTAGATGTTATGGATTAGGTTTCTACATAATTATACTCTAAAAGAATGGGAACATTAGACTGAGTCCCTATGTAATTCAAACCAGAGATGATGATGATGATGATGATGATGATGATGATGATGGGGGTGGGTGGGATGAGGGAAAGGGGGTTTCCAATGACAACTAGCATTCACAGAGTAGTTTCTATGTCCACTACTATTCTAAATGCTTTTTTCAAGATTAACTCATTTAACCATAAAAAAAATCCATCTGGGTCAGATTCTATTTTTACCTTGATTATAATGAGGAAACCAACACACAGCCAGTGTAAGTAACTTGCCCAAGGTCTCAAAGGTCAAAAGGGAGGACACCATGATCTATACCTAGATAATCTAGCTCAAATCCAATCTTCTAAATACTGAAAATATTGCCCTCCATCTCTCCTCATGTATGAACACCATAACAATTATAAACCATTTCCCAAAGTTCTACTAATCATCCATATCAGACACAATGTTATGATGCAGTTAGAATTTCTGATCAGTGAAAATGTTTCCTTTGAAGGCATTTTCTGTTTCTGCCTGACTGCAAAGGGTCTCAAAGTAGAACTTACAATGTTTTCTTCCTTTCTTTCTCCTTCTTGCTTGCTTGTTTTTATGTTTAAATTTCAACTATCCATACCTTAGTGTTGCCTTTGTTCTTTTCTGTTTCCCTTCTCTTACCTGAGACTGAGAATCCCTGCATGCTAGGCTTGAAATAGGAACTTGAAAGAAATAGGTCATTACAAAAGATAAAACAAGTTAATTTTTTGGTGTTTTATGGCTGAAAATATTGAGAACATGAAAAGGGGCAGCTGGAAAACATTGTACGGTGAAAGAGGGAGTGGGCAGAGACCAAGTCTTAAGAACAAGCAGCTCAGTGTGTGGAGCCCTGCACTTCCGCCCCCCACCCCCTAACTTTGAGGCAAAGACCAGAAGCAGTTTGGGCAAAGCACTGAAGATCTTCCAGATCTTCCAGGAGTGTCAACCCACTTGAACTTAGTGGGGAAGTCTGAATCTGAATCACTAGCATCCGATTTGCCTGGGATTAAAGGGAGAAATGGAACTGTATTAATTCACTTAGATTTGATTCTCCATACATATTTATTTTAAAATTCCTTTAGAAGTACCAGTTTTCATCTCTACAAAAAGCTGTCAGTAAATATAATCATCTGAAACCTAGCATGAAAGAAACGAGGAATCCCTATGCGCTAACTATATTTGTTTCCACTGTAGCCTCGCTTATGACCAGAAGATAAAAATCACAAATTCGTAGAGTTTGTTCTAGATGGGCCTTTGTGATGAATTTAAAGTAATAAATGGTACTGACTGGCTGTCCAGAGGAAGTAGATCAATTGGTTAGTCACTAAAAGATGGAGTAGAAGGTGCACTCTGTTTTCTGTGGGAAGAGGTGAAGTGGAGTCCACTTCCCAGCTATGAGATAGTCAGTGAAATTCCAGTGTTTTCTGAGCCTGATTCTTCACTTGTAAAACATGAAAATCTAACACCTTCCTTATTTTTAAAAATATTTTATTTATTTATTCATGAGAGACACAGAGGGAGAGAAAGAGAGGCAGATACATAGGCAGAGAGAGAAGCAGGCTCCCTGTAGGGAGCTTGAGGTGGGACTTGATGCCCAGACTCTGGAATCATGCCCCGAGCCAAAGGTAGACTCTCAACCACTGAGCCACCCAGGCATCCCTAACACCTTCTTTATTTTAGAGTTATGGCCACCTGATTACATACCTGAAAATAACTGTGAAGACCTGGGTGAATGCAAAAGGGAAGAAAAGGTTTATGGAATTTTAATTATTGCTATTCCCACTAAGGGTTGTACAGCTAGGAGGGACAGAGCCAGGACTAGGCCCCACATCCCCTGATTCTCAGTCCAGTCCTCCTCTCTTTTCTCACACATTGCACCAGCTGGGGCCAAGTTTCTGCAATCAAGACAAAAATGTGCCAAAAGCTTGGAAAAACAGCATATGCCATTTAAACATTCTACATGAAACCTAGAATTCCATAAGCTTTTTAGGAAAAAATGACTTTTCAGGTCAGTATATTGCTTTCATTCCTACATTTGTCTGTATGAGAATGGGCTGGATATACAGTTCTTAAATTTTTTTCAAAGGTCAACACAAAATAAGTGAACACCAGACTAGGAATGAGAACTGAGTTCTGGCCTTGTATCTATCAGCTACTAAAATCAATAACCTTGAATAATTCATTGTCTCACTGAATGTCAGTTCACTTATGCAAATTAGCTACAGATTACTAGTAGTTCCTGGAGTATATCGGCTTTGGTTGAATTAGTTTGTATCTTTAAACCTCAGTTTTTCATGTAAAAAAATGGGGACTTTTTTTTTCTGTTTTGTCCCCCCGCCCCGCCCCCATTTACTCCAATGGATTCCGTTTTCCTTCTGTGTCTGAGCAGATAGGGCTAAATCCTGAGGTTGCAACACTCCTGTCCTTTGCTGGTTGGATTTCATATGAGCTCACCTACTGGTAGAACTGATTACTGACAGAAGATTAAGGAGGAAGGAGGAGCCAGCGTGTCCTTTGCTGTCTCTGCTGCAGTGTTGCTTTGTCTCTTCCTGATTTCATCTCTCTCTAGAGGCTTCTCCATGGTTCCAGCTTTCCTAGCACTCCAGGAATATTATTTCCTCCACTAGGGATAGGAATGGCTTCTCACTATTGCTATTTTCTGGGTGCCTCAACATCCCTAAGCAGTTGCAAGTTTTCTTTCTAAAAAGCCTATGGACGATATTGTGTAGGTTCTATTTCCTAGCAAGACTCTGACTCACAAAGTCCCACATTTTGCAAAATTATTGTAGAATCAAGTAAAATAATGGGCTAAACCAGTGGTTCTCAGGGAAGATTTTGACACCAGAGGACAACTGGCAGTGTCTGGAGACATTTTTGATGGTCAGTTATAGTGTAAAGCTATTGGAATCTAGTGGGTAGAAGCCCAGAGATGCTGCTAAACATCTTATAATGCACAGGGCAATCCCCACAACCAAGAATTATCTGAACTCAAATGTCAGTATTGTTAAGTGAGAGAAACCCTGGGGTTACTAATTAGTAAATGGCAGTTTCTAATGACTGTGCTAAACGGAGATGAGCAAAGGAGGCAATACTATCTGATAGCAATTCTCAGTGAGGATGTAGAAGAAGAAAATAAAGAAAAGATTATCAGAAATTAGGGAGAACTATAGGTTGCTTGAAAATATTCAATATTTTGATACATTGTATACTTAGCAATTTATTTGAAAACCTTTTTAAAAGATTTATTTGATAGAGAGAGCACAAGCAGGGGGAGAGATAGAAGGAGAGGGAGACAAAATCTTCAGGTAGACTCTCAACTGAGTGTGAAGCCCAATGCAGGGCTCAATCCCGAGACCCTGAGACCATGACCTGAGCCAAAATCTAGAGTCAGATGCTCAATCAACTGAGTCAGCCAGGTGCCCCCATTTGAAATATTTTTTAATACCACTGACATTTCTAAAGAAAGCAAAATAAATCAACTTTATGCAGAAAGATGTAATTCTTAGTTTTCGGAAGGATTTGAGGCATTGTGGTACTTTTTAAAATCTTTTTTCAGTTGAGGACATAGCTTTTTAAAAACTAGGAATCATTAATATTTTATAAGTGCAACAGAAGTTTATTTTTTTTTCCAAAATATACAATACACGACTTTTCTCAGTAAAGAACTATATCTACAAGTTCTAGTAAAAACTTTTGTCTGTATTTCAACACTGGTCTGAGCCACCAGAGGCATTTGTATCTCAGTGGTAAGGGCGAAAGATGGAATGATAGATAACCATCATTTAGTCCATGAAATGCTTTATAAACTCACTCCTAATATTTCAGAAGCCCACACACCAAAGCTCAGCATGATATATACCCAAGGAGTAGAATTAATGACCTATTGTGCTGACTCAGTTTTCAGTTAGAGTTAATTCCATTTTTAATGCTCTGGTCTCCCCAAAGGCTGAAGATTTCCATTCCAGTGATTTACTAATGGGATGCTAATCCTCAAGAGACCAGATAGAGATCACTAACTGGGGAGACATTCTGCTTGTATCTCAATGTATTTCATGCCTAGTTGCACTAATTGCCTTTCTATTTTTACCCCACACCCATCACTCTCTACATCTCAATTAATCACAGAAACAGAAGGCAAGCTTTTTAGTGTGTGTGCCCATCTGAATGCATTTGTCTGCTGAGATGAAAACCTTGCATGAAAAATTGATGATCATTATTTAAATGAAAACAATGAAT